AATCACATCGAAATTCTGTTTTTTCTTCTTTAGTCAAGCAACCTTAAAATATGTCCCCACATGTGTTTCCCCAGTTCTCTGCTGATATAAAGTAGCATAAAGGCTTCTCCTCCAATTTGATTATAATTGACATTAGTGCACACCCTGCTCGCAGGTCTGGAGAGGCCAAAAGAGAATTCAGGTTACTTCCTCATGAGAAAAAGTAACAGTGTCTTTCAGCAAGAAGAGCCACTTCAAGGAGCAAGGGAAGCTCAGTCACTCTTGGGAATTCAGCAGACTCTGAGCTCTTCAAGGATAGCCAACTTCTCTCATTTCTGTTCTCACTCCCAACTCTTCCCAATTGAGCAAAGAGACCTATGATTCAGCAGACGTTGCAACGTGGTAACACACGGAATGAAGTTACAGTTTGGATTCAGCCAACTCTTGCTTGTTATCTCAGGGGAGATTTGGAATTGAAGATGGTTTCCAAAGGGATCTTCAGTCTGTAATTTTTAAAGATTAAAGTATTCATGAATCTTGTGAGATTAAAAATTAATTTCAAGGTTAAAATATAGTATAAGAAGTGTGGAAATACTTTTTTTTTTTCTTTAGAAACTCAGGTAGGACAATCACAGTCCAGAACAGCCATGTACCCATGACATGTATCCAGAGGCTGTTATCAGACTGGGAGCCGGCCCTGCTCCAGCAGGATCTGGGACCTGTTGAGTGTCAGGAAACCTCCAGGTTCTTGATTAGCACAGGAAATTTTTAAGACATGAGCCCAGATGAAATTGAAAGTAAGTTTATTAGATCTTGGAGAGTCAAGCAAAGGAAGGACTCTGGAGACAGGATCAAGGCATAAGTAATCCTGGGATGAGCTGCTGCTGCCCATTGCTCCCCTGGGTGCAGGTCTCATTGAGACCCTTAGAGAATAGGATAGAAGCAAAGTACTCACCTGAGGAAAGAGAGGGAGGGTAGAGGCGGGGCATGCTTAGTGCTCAAAGAAGAGCATATGCTGGCAACCTGGGTCCTGGGGGTTTTATGTATTTTCTAAAGGCAGGAATTTTAAGGAGGTCCCAGGGGAGGATCTCACAGAATATTCTTTAGCTCTCCAGGTGTGTCATTTAGAATGCTGATGTAGCAAAAGGAGCATATAGTTGGTTCAGGGGTCATTCTCTGGTTAGTTTCACCTCTATCTTGGATTAGTCTGGCTCTGGTTTTTTTGTTTGTTTGTTTGTTTTGTTTTGTTTTTTTATCTTTCTCCCTAAGGCAATTTAAACCATTTGCTTTTAGGCATCTTTGGTTAAGAAGAATAGGGTCTTGTGATTTATTTATTAGCTGGCCATTAATTGCTTAGCTATTCTGGCCATTTGTTCAACCATTTGTCTCAATTTTCTCCATCTGCTCTTAGTATCTTTGGGTAGGGAGGGTTGGCTGGCTATTAGTTGCTCAGCTACTCCAACCATTTGTTCAGCCATTTGTGTCAGTTTCCTCATTCCACTTGCCAGGGAATTTTATTAGATTCTTACTAGCCTTCTTCAGTTCCAGAAACCCTTCTAAATAGTTTGCCATTTTCCCATACCCAATCCTGTAGTTTATATTCGATCTCTCTTGCCATATTTTCCCCTGACTTCAATCACTTCTCCCCATTATGTACCATCTGCCAAATCCTCTGATTTGAAAGTCCCCACTCATTCCCCAACTATAACTCTGGCTTCTTTAGACTTTATCCCTCCTCTATGCTAATGAATTCATGAACCGCTTTAAATAACAGCATTCCTATCTCAAATTTCCTTTACATCCTAGACAAACAGATTGATTTCAGGGTAAAACCTACTCAACTGTTGAATAATGTGATATATAAGAAAGAATACAGTGGAACCTCAGTTCTCAAACTTAATTTGTTCTGGAAGGCTGTTCAAGAAGGAATTTGTCCAAAAACCAAATCATTTTTTTTTCCCATTAGAAATAACGTAAATTGAATTATTCCATCCCAGACTCCCAAATGATTCTATTTTAACCTCTCTTATATACAGTACATGTTTAATGTGCTGTTTAATCTATAAATAAACACTTCTTAAATTTACCAAACCACCCCCTACTGGCCTTAAAGGAATCACTTTCAGCATTCCTTCCAGGGGTGTCTTTCAGGTCAGCATGTAGCATCTTCACTTGTTCATATTAATATATCACTGCTTTGGAAACGCTGTCACCAGCTAACTGCTTTATGTTTATCTGAATCAACAACAGTTTTTCTATCTCTTTAATTGCCTGTGATCATTGTTTCTTTCATGCCCTTAGCAACATTGGCACTCTTGATGGCTTCCATATTTTAAAATTTTGCTAGTCATTGATTTTGGCCAGCAACAATAGCATTCTTTCCTTTGTTTTGTTGCCTTAGAGAGACTTTTTGTCATGCTAAGTTATTGTCAGGTCCAATCTTAAAGTTTGGCTATCCAACTGAGACATTTTTGTGTGAACAACTTGGTTGAGAACCAAATTGTTTGAGATGGGAGACATTTGAGAAGTGAGATTTGATTGTATTACAATGGTAAAGGGCAGTGGTCGGCAAACTGCGACCACATGTGGCTCTTTGGTCCCTTGAGTGTGGCTCTTCCACAAAATACCACGGCTTGGGTGAGTCTATTTTGAAGAAGTGGCGTTAGGAGTTTAGGTTTAAAATATTTGGCTCTCAAAAGAAATTTCAATCGTTGTACTGTTGATATTTGGCTCTGTTGTTGACTAATGAGTTTGCTAACCACTGGTATAGGGCAAAAGAGGAGAATACCAAACTCCTTCTCATGTATTCGGAGGAGACTGCCCAGAAGAGATAATTATTTGGATGATGATGCTGGTGGTACATATGTACGTTCTGAGTGATTTACATATGGTATCTCATTTAATCCTCTCAATAACTCTAACAGGAAAATTCTCTTGTTGTCCACATTTTATCCTTGAAGAGACCGAAGAACAGTGAGATTGACTTTGCATATGATTACACAGCTTGCAAAAGGTGGAGCTAAAATTCAAACATAGCAAGTGTGGCTCCTGGGTCCCTGCTCTTAAATCATAGGTGAGGAGATAAAACTCAGCTGAGGTTTAGGATGGCATTCTACCTAAACCAACGCAATAGTTTGCACAGTCATGAAAATATGAGAGAACATGGTTTGCTCCAGAACACAGCATTGAGTGTGGCAGGAGTGTGAGTAGAGGTGGAAAAGGTCACGGAAAAGATAGGGAGAAACCAGTTCAGGAAGGGGCTTATTTGCTGGGTTTTATTGTGTAGGAAATGAGTTGCTGAAAGGTTCTAAATAGGACAATTACATGATCAGAACTGCGTTTTTTGCACAGTCCCTCTGGCAGGGATATGGAGGACAGATTGGAATAGATTGAAACTGGAGGCACAGGTTACTGTTCAGAAGCATTTGAGTTATCCTAAGGATATGATGAGGGCTGAACCGGAGCAGCAACATCAATGATGGAAAAGGTGGAGATGGAGTTGAATGCCTCAAAATGAAACTAAACTTTGTATTTCAACTGTGTCAACAGTGTTCTAATAGAGGGAAATAAGATAATGGTGTTCCTGTAATTGCCTCTGTGTTCCTGTTAGTGAAATAGCACTTGTTAAAAGTCTTGAGTCAAAGATATTGTCCAGTTAGGTTAATGTTATGCAACTTTTCAGACAAAAGTAAATATATAAATATTATTTCACAGACAATAATGTTTAATATTTTCTCATTGAAGAATTAAATAGATATGAAGATTAACTCTTGTATTTTACAGAGTTTTTGAAAGACATGAAACAAATTTATTTATACATAAAGAAAAATAAGAATTATAAACAAGATCTTATTGTAATGGCATTACCCATAAGGACCAGCAAATATTGTTACTAGAATATCTTCTATGCTTTGCATATTTAAGCTCTCTATCCATTAAACGGAGCTGTCATTATTTCCTTGGAGCATTACTGTTTATCAGAATAATTTGATTTTTTTTCTCCTCAACAATGAGTGAATCCCTTCCACTTGGAATTAGTTTTAGATTCTATTTTCAAAGAATGATAAAGCTCAGAAATAGTCTTAATTAAGATAACAAATATTGGCCATTAAAATGGGACCAAGACAAGACTCTAAAATAGACTATAATAATATATTGTTAATAGTAAATCCACGTTTATGAACATTAATGAATATTAGTAAATAGTTATCTTTCTTTTTAATAGTTAAGTCAAAAGACTCTTATAGATACCAACATGTTAAAGATTATAAAAATCTAAAATATATTTAATAATACGTGGCATGAAATGATTTTAAAAAGGAATTTCTGCCGAAACCGGTTTGGCTCAGTGGTAGAGCGTCGGTCTGTGGACTGAAAGGTCCTGGGTTCGATTCCGGTCAAGGGCATGTACCTTGGTTGCGGGTGCATCCCCGGTGGGGGGTGTGCAGGAGGCAGCTGGTCGATGTTTCTCTCTCATCGACGTTTCTAGCTCTCTATCTCTCTCCCTTCCTCTCTGTAAAAAATCAATAAAATATATATATTTAAAAAGGAATTTCTATGTTACAGAATTTTTTATTAGAAAAGTACCATCAAGTATAATGGAAAATAATATTTTGATCCTTTGAAATAAGATAGAATTATAGCTTTTGAATATTTACATGCACTAATGAATTATATGCCAGATTTTCCTGAAATGATACTTACTTCCCATTAAATCAGTGCACATTCACTATATGAGCTATTTTTCTTTAGAACTGTGAATATATTTTAAAATCTTGGTTATTGTAGTAGAAACAGACACTAGTAATGAAAGCTTGCATGTATTTCTATGACTCACATACAATGAGTATTTCAATTTTTATTCTAGAGTATTTTTAAATATGAAGCAGAATACTATTGTTCTCTCTGACATGATCCCTTTTTACAATGATGAAACTTAACACATTATTTTATAATATTTTGAGTATGATATTTGCATTCCAGAATTAATTAATTATAAAAGACCAGATACTTTTGATTGATTAAAAAAATAAACATCTTTATTTGAATCCTTCTGATAGTAAAATAACCAATACATCAGTTAGGATTAAAATACATACTATTGAAACTACTGTTCTATATATATCAAAATTCATAAGCTTTTTATAAATAGGCTTATCTATTTATCCTATAAAACTTAGCTTTAAAGCTATTACTGCTTTGGATATAAAACTGGCCTTCAGAGCATTACAGACTATACATAAATGCTTCATTCTTCACCAACACCAACCTCTTCTAAGAAAGCTTACCAGTAGTCTTGCACAGTAGTGAGCAATTTTAAAAACTATTAGGCATAGAGAGTAAAGGAAGATAATATTTATGTTAGAGCAATTTTCACCATAAAACATCTAAAATATAAAAACAAACAAACAACTGTGAATGAATTACCTTTAAACCATGGTCATAATGTTAAAATTAATTTTCTGAATGCCACATTTTTTAATATTTTAAATGACAAATATTTTACATTTCATGGAGTACCTGAACATCATTAATTTTCCCAGGAACTAAAATGCTATAAGGTCTTTCTGACTAAGGTAAATGCCATAAATTGAAGAAGTTTATCTCAGAACGAGGATTAGGGCATTTACATATAAATAAATACCCAAATAACTATTTATAGCTGTAAAAGAATGATATACCCTCAGAAGTGCTTGTCATAGCCAAAATACAAATTACTTGTGTGTACAATCTAGCCTGCTGAGTAAACAATTATTTTTAAATTATAGCAAGTAATGCAATTAATAGAAAACTTTTTAATTAATAGAAATTAAGATAATTATAAACCTAATATGTAATTCTCAGTATTCCCTGGTGCTTGCAAGTGCTCTTTAGCATAACAGCAACAAAGGACTTCTTTAAAGTGTATATATTGTTTAGCTTTATTTCAGATGCTGTGTAGCATAAGAACCCAATGTTCAGAGATAGGCGTGAACCATGGAAAAGAAATACAAAAAGGAACTAACTGCCCTGTTAGGTACTGAATACTCAGAGGAATGAGCATTCGTGATTTATGGCTTGAAGTGCTTGGGTCTGATCATCATCTTGGCCTTTTTGAAGGAGGACTTATAGCCGCCAGGCTGTGCCTCACTCATACCAGGCCAGGTGCCCCAGAAAATGCCATTACGGACACCTCTGTACTTTTGGTGATAATATTTGCCATTTAAGTTTGCAGAAAGGCATGCATCAAACCACCAGCCTGAACTGTAGTAGAGCCCACAGTTCCCAGAGGGATATCGATCGTTGTCTCTGTCTGGGGTGGTGAAAAACTTCATGTCATGGTTGTAGTGTTTGCTGAAATGTAAGGCATCTCCGGCTGTGCCGTTATAGTTACCAACATGCAAACGGTACTTGAGAAACTCATTGGCCACATAAAACTGATCGTACAAGGCATAGAGTTTGACACCATTAAAGTCTTCAAGATCTATCCTTAGGATCATCTCGTTACTCTTGGTCAGAAGGTGAATTTTGTCATTCCCCAGCCAAAATTCTTTCCTGAGGTTCCCAAAGCCTACTTTGTAGTCTTGCCATGTTTTGTTGAAGCTGGTGCTTCCATCGAGACGTGCCTGCAGCACTGTCCAGCCTCCCCCCATGGTCTCCATGTCACAGAGAACTTCGAAGCTGCTATATTTGGGGTCCGGTGTGACTCTGTAGCTCTCACTGCTTCTTTTGCCTATTGTGTAGTACTCGGAGCAATCCTTATATATTAGATGTTGAACTGAAGGGGGAAGAAAAGAAAGACATTGGATTTTGTTAAAAATAAAAAAAAATCATGCATCTGAAGAATTCTTTGTATGTATGAAAGCAGTCTGACAGCTCCATCCATGGCAATAATGGAACCTTGCTCTGCTAAACTTACTTGAAACTGTTTAGCAAATGCTTGTCAAGGCCTCTGAAAAAAAATCTGGTATTACAAAGCAGACAACATACTCTTGGTTGGTAATAATATTGACATCGACAACAATCAACAATAAATAAGAAGAAATAAAAATAATAGTTTTAAGAATTTAGTCTCAACAGGCATTCTGCCAAAGGCTTGATAGCATTTTTACACTTAATCTGCACATGATCCTTATGATGTAGATATTATTGCAAATCTGCTGGTGACAACATTTATATTCAGAGAGGATCAGTGGCTTGCCCAGGTTCACAGAAGCATTGAGTGGCAGCGTCAGGACTGAGTTTTAGTTGGCCGCACAGCTTGTTCTTGTAGCCACTACACTAATGGTCCTTAAAGTCAGAAGATTCCAGCTTCCCTGATCCGTGCTTACAGAGGAATCATAGCTTCTCTTTCCTTCGCCCAAAGGGGCCCATAGCCTCTGCTGTTAAAAAGTGTTATGGGATATGTTCCCAATGACGTGTTAAAATTTCAGTGTGCAGCACTGATCATATGTTGACATTTATTTTACTTGCTTGACCACTAAATAAAGAAGCTAAAAAAAAAAAAAAAAAAAAAAAAGCTCAAGTTAAAAGGAAATTTTTTCAATAATATTTCAATATTCTTATTTTGAATTTATTACCCAAGGAAAGTATTTAGCCATGTTTCATATATTTGGTTTGTAGAAAGGAATGACAATTGATTATGTTTAGAATAAAAATAATAATTAGGTAGCATGGTTCTGTAGGAATCCAATACAGATATTTACTCCCATATAATTTTTATAAAAATCCATGCCAGATAAATTAATATAGGCTTTTTCCCCCCACCCCCCCCCAAAAAAAGTATACACATTTTGAATAATTATAATAATTCCAATGGGTTGAATCTGTAAAGACAGAAACATCAGCTGAGCCATCAGCTGCTAACATGTATGTATACATTTTTGGAGGGCACCCTGTATAAACCATTCTGAGGCATAATAAACCTATTCATGTGTATTTAGAATTCAAACTATTCTGATATTTTCCCAAAACTTTTAGTAAAAAATAAAGACAAGAGAATCTAATGTGCCCAAGGATGTCATCTACCTCTCTGCCTTGCAGTGTGTAGGGCAACTTCAGAGGGGAGCTGCCTAGTACATTAGCAACAGAGCTCCTGAAAACCCCACCTGTTTTCACTGGCAGAGTCCCTGGGGACAGAGCACGCAGGAGGTACTGGTTCCAAATGAATGTGACCCTGCCCTAAGGCACCATGTCCCTTCAACCTCACGCTCATGGTAAGTCCTAGACCTAATGCACAGATGGCTTAACAAAGACCACCAGCAGCTGTGGCCCCAGCAACTCAGCTGCAAAGCCAGGGTTTGGAGGAACCAGTGCCACAGCTGGCTCATGGGCAGAGTGGGCAGTTAGGTTTGTTACCTTTGACATACATTTATTAAAGTTAATTCGGGTAACCGGGATAGTGAGGATGGGTTCTGTTATTATACGCTTGAATTCTAGTTTAAGGTAAAAGAGGGGAAGCAACGAGAACGTATTCCTTCCTTTAGTGGCATTCCAAGTCTCCCCCTTACCATGTTTTTGTGTCACCAGGTCTCAAAGCAAAAAGTTTTACCCACACAGGAAACCATAGGACTGCTTTTATTTACTCCACCTATAAGATCTCCCATTTTCACTAAGTATTTGGGGTAGCTACTGCAAATTACTTGCCAAGGTCTTTCAAAGATCTATTGCTACATGAGAAGAAGCAGTCAGCAGACCGTAAGAAACTGATTTTCAATAAACAGAGTACAACCGCAAATACTGCCTTGTCTCTATGCTTTCAAGCACTTCACTAACGAAATAAGTTAAATGCACTGAAGGGTCAAAAAAAAAATTCTATTTCTCTACAAAGTTGATATGTGACTTTGACACCAGCAAAGTGCTTGAAGTTGAAAGTGCTTTCTAATAGGGCTACAGAACTAGTCATGATTTTTGTTAACTACCATTTCTAGGGTCACACATTTGCAAAGATATTCATTCCCCCCCCCCCCCCCCCAACCTGGATGAACAAAAGGCTTCATTTATTTAATGGGTCGTTTTATGTCACTTCCTTGCTCGGGTTAATGTTTATAACTATGGTCTAGCTACAGTACATTCCTGAACAAAGGATAAAGAAAAAGGTTACGATACATACGTGGACGTGACTGTATCTGTTCCTGACTGGGACACTTGGAACACTTCCCATCCAAACTGTTGACCACAAACGTCAGGTTGGCCACTTTGCTGTCCACGTAGTTTTCCACGTTGTTCATGTTGACGAGGCTCAGCTTCTCCAGGCGGCCCTGCAGCACGTCGATCTCCTCCCTGGCGTTCTTGAGGTCGGAGGACAGCTTGCTCACCTCGCCCTCCAGCTCTGTCACTCTGTTGTCGTCCGCCTCCCCCGGGCCTCCCGCGCCGGGGTCTCGGTTGTCATCAGCCTGCAGCTTGCTGTCCTGGCAGCACTTCTTCAGGCTGCTGACGATCTCCTTGAGGCTCTGGACTTCTTTGATCACCTCCTCCATCCTGCCGAAGTGCTTGGGGAGCTGCACCGTCAGCGGGGGCAGGCTCACCTGGTAGGCGCACTCGCCGCCTGCATCCTCCTCGCACTTCCCTCTGCTCTCCAGCCTCACGGGGCAGGAGGCGTCCTTGGCCGGTCCGTCTTGAATCTCTTCTGTGTCATTATTGTTCGCCGCCGCCGCCGCCAGACAAGCGCAAGCAGCGAGGACGGCCGCGGAGCTCAGGCAGCACCAGGTGGCCAGCTGCATCTCGGCGCTCGCCCGGCGGGGAAGTGAGGCGGCGTGCGGGGCTGGAGCTGTTTTTAAACGGCGGCCGGCCCCGGGGCGCCTGACTCAGGCTTTCTGCTGTCAGAAAAGGGCGGGAGCGCTTGCATCACAAGTTTCAGAAACTCAGAGGAGAGTTGCCCGGGGCCACCTCGGTTTGCCAGAAACTGTTCCTTATTCCCAGAGGATGCTCCTGGGGATCGCGGTGAGCTGGTTTGGATGCACCAGCTGAACACGTGTTACTCTCCTCGTTTGTCTGATAAAAGCACAAGAAAAATCTTGTATTTCAAAATAATTATGCTCGAAGGGAATCGTTTCATTGTGCTGAACTCCACTAGGAAAAAAAAAAAGATTATTTTTAAGATACAGATGAAGTCCTAGTAACTCACACTATCCGAAGAACAGAAATATTAACAAAGACAGAAATAGTCCTTTGTCCTTTTTAGTGCCTGGTATGGAGGACCCTGCGTTTTCCTCATGTTGGACATGCAGGTGAAATCTTTAAAAAAAAAAAAAAATTTTTTTTTTAATATAACGAAGTGCATCCTTCTGACTTGTGCCTTGGGCCATTTGAAAAAGGGAAGAAAACTGGTGGGGAGTGGGGGGGAGGAGGGGAGAGCTGCTTTCCATTACTTTGACCATAACAGAGTACAGTAGAAATGGCTAAAACACACTTAAAAGTACATCATTGTCTTTCAACAAAACCAGCAGCCTCTTCCTTTGCCCCTTCTCCTCTGTGAGGTTATGTTGTCATCTCCCAGAGCTGCCCAAGTGTACGTCTTTGAACTGTGCCATCCTCGGCTCCAATTCTTCTGTCTCCAGGCATCTTTGCCTCCCTTTGCCACTGGCAGCGCCCACCCCCCCCCCCCCCCCCCCCCCCACACACACACACACACTCTGTGAATCCTGCCTCTATCTTGGGCCCCATTCACCTGCTCTCTATGCCTCTTGGTGTAGCACATCTTTTCAGACTTCCCAGTTTCATTTTTTTTTTTTTTTTAACTTTTCTCCTCAGAGGCCAAGGGCAAGAAGGAAGAATGGCACCATCTGGAGAAATCACTTTCTTTTCATTTGTTTTGTATATTGGCATCTCACAAAGATTTTTTTTTAAATATATATTTTATTGATTTTCCACAGAGAGGAAGGAAGAGAGATAGAGAGCTAGAAATGTCAATGAAAGAGAAACATCGACCAGCTGCCTCCTGCACACCCCCTGCCGGGGATGTGCCGGCAACCAAGGTACATGCCCCTGACCGGAATCGAACCTGGGACCTTTCAGTCCGCAGACCGAAGCTGTATCCACTGAGCCAAACCGGTTTCGGCAGATTTCTTATTTTTTTAAAAACAGGCTTTTATTGCTTTAAAAATAATTTCAAAATGACTGATGTGGATAAAAATCCAAATTCTTTATTATGTCACTTAAGGTACTCTGTAATCTATCTCATATTTATTTCTTGAATTGACTTTCCTATGTACTCTCTTCATTCCAGCCAAATGACCCTATTCGTGTTCTCTGTGTCAGGCTCACTTTACATTCCACAGCTGTATTTGCTCCTGAATACTTAGGAGACCCGGATCCCTCCCCTGGATCTAACTCTTATCAGATAGATAGATTATTAACTTTACTGAGTCTTGGGTCTTGTAGCTGTGAAGGAGGAATTTGGCTATTCTTCCCTCATACAGGAATGAGAATTATAAAAACCTTTGAGTGGAGTGCTTCAGGGGGAAAAAAGAAGTGTGTATAAAAGTAACATTCTTTCCAAATAAATTTGTCAAACATGTTCTGCACACCATATGCCTCATTTTTCCTTCTTCTTCTTCTTCCAGTCTTTTAAAAAATTAAGTTGTTTTCTCTTCATTTTATTCAGTATGTTTACATCAGTTTTATACAATTTTTAAACTTTCTGATTAAAAGTATCTATTTAGTCTCCTAATTTTATTTCTCTCCCCTTACCCACTTTCAAGCTGTAACACTCTCCTGTTTTGAGAGGAGAAATAAATGATTAAGAGAAATTTTAAAAGAAAGAGAATGATGATAATATAGATGATATAAAAATCCTATATAATAAAAGGCTAATGTGCAAATTGTCCTCTTGACTGGAAGTTCAACCAGGAGTTAGACCAGGGGGTAACTCCTCCCCCACTACATCATTCCCTCTCCCCCCTACCCCCCACCGCCAGCCTGGCCTGATCAATCCCAATTGGAGGGAGCCAGCCAGATCCCACCTGTGCACAAATTCATGCACTGGGCCTCTAGTATTTTATAAAGTAGAAGCATAAAACAAAGTATTATTTTAAAAGAAAAAGAATATAGAGAATAAGATATTATGTAATAATATTGTATAAAGTAGAAATATATTGGAATAATGTTTAGTTTAAGATACATTACTAAATGCCCTTGACTGACTAGGGTATATATAAATCCATATATTTAACCAGTCAAGTATTTATTAAGGATCTTCTGTGCTCTCGGACCTATGCTAGAACATATAAAAGATGTAAGCCATGGCCTCTTCCATTTGTTCATTCATTCGTTTATCCATCCATCCAGACATCATATTAACTGAGCACCATCTACATGCAACACTCCCCAGGCACTGAGGCTACACTAGAGAACAAATCATACAAAAATCCCTTTCCCTTCTTAGGAAGGTGTATTGAGGACCTTGTAGTTTCTTGTGGGACAATCAGGTTAATCAGAAACACTTTTTAAACATTTCTAAATCTAACCAAAGAGAAGCTTTCTGGCTCTTGTAATGGGCTTTTGCTTCATGTGCTTGAATCCAGGATTTGCTTTCCTAGCACTACTGCTGATTCTTGAGCCCTGCACACCCCCACTTTACCAAGGACAAATGGCACAGTCTCACTTGAAAAGGTTGAATATGCTGTGGAACTAGCTCCTGTTCCCTCAGGACCCATAAAAAAATCCCCAAATAAAAGCAGAGAACTGCTTATTAATCATTTTTTTGTTGACACTGATAGATGATCCTCTGGGCTCTCAATTTAGATAATCACTTACTCCAGGCAGACACTAAGTGACTACCAAATGAAAGAGGCTCAGTCTGCCTAGTGATTTATAACCCAAGGGGCCAGAGAGTGGTGTGCTATAATTAGTGCAAGAAGCTTTCACAAAAACAATCTCACTATATCCTCCCATCTCTACATGTACTTGCAGATGAGAAAAATAAAACAAAAAAAAAACCTCAAAGCAATCCTTGACTTGCCTCTGGTTTTACAGTATTTAAGACACAGAGTTGGAGCTTGAACCTGGGGCTGATTCCAAAGTTCATGTCTTTTCTCCTATGCCACATATCCAGGCATAGTGGCAGTGTGTTATAAAGAGCCTGGTGCTTAAATTTGTTTAATCACTGCTTAGATTTAAATTTAATTTAATTTTGTTTTATGCTTCTACTTTATAAAATACTAGAGGCCCATTGCATGAATTTGTGCACAGGTAGGGTCTGGCTGGCCTGCCCCAATTGGGGTTAATCAGGCCAGGCTGGTGAAAGGGGAGTGGGCGGGATTAAGGGGGTAAGAACTGCCCCCTGGTCTAACTTCTGGTTGAATTTCCAAAGGCTAATTGCATATTAGCCTTTTATTATATAGGATTTTTATATCACCTATGTTACCATCATTCTCTTTCTTTTAAAATTTCTCTTAATCATTTATTTCTCCTCTCACAACAGGAGAGTGTTACAGCTTGAAAGTGGGTAAGGGGAGAGAAATAAAATTAGGAGACTAAATAGATACTTTTAATCAGAAAGTTTAAAAATTGTATAAAACTGATGTAAACATACTGAATAAAATTAAGAGAAAACAACTTAATTTTTTAAAAGACTGGAAGAAGAAGGAAGTTTGATTTAAATTTAATCACCGCTTAGATCTGTGTGAAACCACTGAAGGTTTCTGAGCAAAGGAATAATATAATCAGTTAGGCACTTCAGAGAAATTAATTCATCGGTGAAATACTAGATGCATTGGCAAAGGGAAAGATTAGACAAAGAGAGCAGTCTACAGGCCCCTTAAATACTCCAAGCCATTGTTTCCTAACATGTGTTTCTTGAATATGAGTGACTACATGCTGATGAAGGTTATATGAAAACAGTTCCAGGATAAGTACCCTCTGAAAAATATCAGTCTTATGCTAATGTGTATGTGGATCGCCAAGAGGAAAGTGATGTATGCTGCATTTTTCAAACATTAATTAACAATAGAAACCTCTTATTTTCTAGGACAGTTTTTTAGGAATGAGTCTTTTGCTAGCAACCATCAGGAAATAGTGAGAGGTAATAGTGTGGTGGCAGGTGGACCAATGCAGTGGCAGGAGGGGTGGTAAAGGGGTTGCGGACATTATTGTAAAGAGTGATGGAAGCCATAGGATCTGATAAGTGATGAGAGATGAAAGAAGAGGAGCGAGAGTTGAGGGAGAACTGTGAAATATGACTCTGGTTGAAGTAATATCATGGCAGTGAGAGCAGAGAAGGAGCAGTAGGTTGGGGAGTATAGATTTCTACCCTCTGGCCTTGACTTTTGCCTCCTTCCTCTTACAGGAAAACTTTCTGCATTTTCTTATGTGCAATCTCCCCTGACTCCTAATATCACCCACTGATCTGCCCCAACACAGAACTGACACATTATTCCCATTTACAGATTTGTTTTTCAGACCTAAATAAGTTATTTAACACCAATATATGGTGGGATTTCAAAGTAACAAGATTTGTTTCTATAAGCCTGATGATAAAATTACTTTCATCCATCTATATTCACATTCACAATGTATTCAGACTTCTTTAATTTTTTTTTCTTATACAAAGTATATTCAAAGGAGGATCTGTATTTACTATTTTTGGAAGAGATTCCAAAAGTAAATTTTAATTGTTTACATTAATATTCCTTAGACGTCTTAGTTGTTATTCATTACAACTTTCATGAAAATAATCTTAAACAAAATGCTGAACTTTAAACAAAAATACAACACATAGAGAGATTAAGAATTGCTTAATTTTGGTTGAAACTAA